CAATAAGATAAACACGGGCATTGAAAGCCATTTTGGGTGTTTTACCTTAAAGACCTTCAGATTATAAGAGCATTTCAAATAATTTTCCTCACATAAAGTTCAAAGCTCTTGACTTTTTTGTTAATTTCAGCTACGTTTTTATTGCTCATAAAACTCTCACCAACTTGCTCAAAGATCCAGTTCGAAATTGCAGAAGCCTTTCGATTATTTTTCGCCCAAACCTCCAAAAGCGAGGTGCGGCAGAAGTCAAACTTGGCTGAAATAAATGATAATATAAATTTACCTCGGAAAAACTCGGAAAATGTAATTATGCCATCATTTAATACATACTTTGAGCTGTAATTTGTCATAATTACAAGTTCGCAGAAATTCACAGAAAGTTAGTTTTCACTCCACAATAGACGCACACATGGGTTAAGTTTTCTTTATTTTAGGACATAAACAATTATTACAAAAAAAAAAAAAAAAACAATTAAACCGCCAAAATTTCAGGGGTGCAGTAAAAACAAAAATATTTTTGTATTCGATATATTCAAAGTATTCTGTACAACAAAAACTTGTTTAAATACGATTTTGTTTCAAACAATTTTTTAGGTTAATGCCACAAAATCTGGATTTTGAACCATAGTGCAATGCAAATATTGCATGCAAATTACTTGCTTCAATCAATTTTTGTTTTGCACGCAAACTTTTGCATGGCTATTTCGTGCAATATATTGCATTAATGCCTACACGTGTTTTCATTTTTTGTTTTTGTTTGCACTGCTTTCAAGTGACACTCATTTGCAAGTTCAGTTGAATTGAAAAATTCTAGGAATAACGACGTGTTTATATTATGTCGGCACAACAATCGAGAGTTGCTGCTGTTGCTATATTAGCAATTTTGATAAAAAACAAGTAAGAAAGCTCTAGTCGAGACTACTCGACTACGAGATCCCCTGAACCCTTGGAGTAATAGCTATTTCAATAATTTTTCGCGTCTTTCAGCTTACACAAGAAACACGTACACACACACACACGCACGCACGCACACACAGGCATACATAAACACACATACATACACACATACACACACATACACACACACACACATACACAAACAATTACATACATATACACACACAAGCATAAACATGCATGGGCGGCAGTGAGCACTTACTATGAGAACTTAATTGGTTAAAATTTTTTTGTGGACGTACGATCTTCATGAAACTTTCAGATTATGATTATGACATGGATATGCATGTAATTGCCAAAGCACAAGTCTCTAGTATTTGAAATACGCTTTTTACAAAAGTGAGGGTGAGGGGGTGAATTTAAGGGTGGGGGGTAAATTTTAACAAAAACCGAAATTGTATAAATTGCATATAGGCATACATTAAAAATTTGGAGACTCTAGCAATAAAGGTGTAGAAGATATAAATTTATAACTGGTTTTCGATAAGGTTTTTTATCGATAAAAAAAGATCGGGATGAGTTATCGATTTTTAATGATAAACTTGATATGCGCGCTGTAATTACGAACATTTAAAAAAAATTTGAAGTCTCTAGCTCTTATATCTTCTGAAATCGACGCGTTCATACATACGGACAGACGGACAGACGGACGGACGGACAGACGGACAGACAGACGGACAGGGCCAAATCAACTCAGCTCGTCGCCCTGATCAAGAATATATATACTTTGTGGGGTCTGCCACGCCTCCTTCTGCCTGTTACATACATTTCAACAAAACCATTATACCCTGATTTCCCATTGAAAATGGGTTCAGGGTATAAAAAAAAAAAAAATTAGAAGATCAAAGTCTGCCAAAAAAACAAAAAGTGTTGGGTGAAAGAGTGGATTTCTAAAAGAGATGAAAAAGGAGTGCCCCGAAGAGATAACCTACCAGATTAAGGCTCTGGTCAGCCCTTCAACGCCTCCAATTGGATTTGTCTTCCAGATTAAGGCTCTGGTCAGCCCTTCGACTCTCTCCGAGAAGAGAGTCTGCCAAATTGAGGCTTTGCTCGGCCTTTCGATTCGTCCAGCTGGATTCATCTCCCAGATTTATGGACACTGGTCTGACATGCGATTTGCCTAAGAGAGACGCATCTTCCAGATTGAGGCTCTGGTCGGCATTTCGACTAATCCCGAAGGACTTCGTCTCCCAAATTTAAGGACTTTGGTCCGACCCTCGTAGATAATTCTACTACCAGTTTTGACTAACGTCAGTCCGGCACTGGTCTGCCAGGTCCCACGCCATCGATCAGCATGCGTCGCCTGCTGAAGACTGTGCGAGCATAGTCTTCAAGCAGTTGCATGCTCTCCGCCTCCATCAAGGTCCTCTCCATGGTCCAGTCACCGGATTCCGACTGCTGGATCCTAAGTCCTTGCAGATCCCGCACATCCGCATAGAGGGGGCAGGCACACAGTACGTGTAGCCAGTCCTCTAGGGGATGGCCACATAGGCATCCAGCAGTCTCGCTAAGACCGCGCGCGTGCAGAAAAGCATTCAACGAGCCATGACCAGTTATGAGGAAACTGGTCGGCATCGTGAAACTGAAGTCGGGGCGGCTGTACACGAAGCTAACATCCGGCATGAACCTATGCGTAACACGGCCGTGTTCGCTGTCATCCCACCGGATCTGCCATTCACACAACAAGCGCTCGTCCAGCAAGGCTCTCCTCATAGTACGATCAAGGGTCGAAACGTCTTGATCGTAGAGCCAATCGCCCTCTACCATCGGGTAGCTCCTCTTTAGCTTGAACAGCATCGCGTTGCGCGTCGCAACAAGGTCCAGCGGCGAGGCTTCAGCCAGCACTTCAAGGGCATCTGTAGATACCGTTCGGCACGTAAGCAAACATCCAATCAGGCTAGTCTCATCACCACCGTGTACCACACCGAAGCACCAAATAATGCACAAGGCACCATAGGTCCGGCATATATCCGTCGCCGTGCGCGCGGACTGAGTCCCCAGTCAACGCGTAGAGACGCGATATGCGGGAGAAAACTCAACCACTCGCCAGCCGTGATGCCAAGATAACGGTATTGCGTCACATACCGTAGATTTGCTCCTGCAAATCTGACGGCGGGATTCCTGCCAACTGACAGCTTTCCCTTAAGGAGCATCGTCACAGTCTTCGTTGCCGAGACTGAGACGCCTACCTCTATGCCCCATCCTCCAACTACCTCCATTAGCTGGGTGCCTGTGAGCTCCAGTTGGGATCTGGAATTCCCTTCGACGAGCAGCAGCAAGTCATCGGCATATGCACTAAATGTGCAATGCGCTTCAAGGCGGCGCAGGAGGACATCCATCAAGATGTTCCATATAAATGGACCACTAATGGACCCCTGCGGGCAGCCACGTGAGACGTTCACATTGGCTTCGCCAAAACTACTGACGATGCTGGCTTTTCGGTCCGAAAAGAAGCTGCGCCAGATCCCAATTTTCCTGCATCCTAGATCCGATAGTCGTCGTAACGCTGCATCCCATTCAACATGGTCGAATGCTCCTTTGAAATCAATAAAGATTCCGAGCACGTATCGATGCTGCTCAGGACATGCCTCCAGGTATCCTCGACGCAGCGTCCGGGGCGAAAGCCGAATTGCCATCGGCTCTCGTCCGTGAGCACCTCTTTCACACGGTTCATCATGATCCCTTCCAGCACTTTGCCAAAGACAGGCAGTAGGCAGATGCCTCGATATGATGCTGGATCGCTCCTGTCTTTATCGAGGCCTTTGAGGAGCGCAACCACACGTGGGCGCTTCCACTCAAAGGGAAAGTATCCATCTGCTAGGCAGCGGGAGTACAACGCTGTCATGTGCTCCGGGATGGCGCGCCAGGCCGCTTTGACCATACCCCCAGTGATGCCATCTAAGCCAGGCGAGCGCCTGCTCCGAACTCTGGCGATGCACATCTCCACCTCGAAAGTCTCGAGGGCTGGGGGTACTTCGCGAGGAACGACAATGTCCACTGGCCTCTCCGCAACTGGAAAAAAGTTGCGGAGCAGGACATTCGCGCAGTCGTGCCAGGTTACGTACTGCTCATTGTTCCAGCGAAGGCAACCGAAATCGGTGCGCGTCTTGCGGCCATGGCAGATCTTATATACAGATCCCCATGGGTCATCCTGATGCTCGCCAACGTATCGCCTCCAATCCTCCTCTTTTGCCTTGAGCATCATCCTCTCGTATTCCTTCCGGGTGATCCTGAAATACGAGGCAAGGGCCCTGGCACTCTCACTTTGCGTGCGGCGCGCATGCTGGAGCCTACGCCGTGCTCTCCTGTGCGTCCGTGAGGGCGGCATTCCATCGATGCAGTCCTCAACTCATCACAGAAACGCCGCCAGTCAGCATTCTGGAGTTGCCATGAGGGCACAGGAGCAAAGCTCTCAACTGTGCTTTCCGGATCAAGCGTCACCACAACAGTGATGATGTTGTGGTCGCTTAAATCCCACTCGCTTACACTCCAGTCATACGCGGGCCACGTAGACGCTGAATCAATGACGATTGTCACGTCAATATCGCTCCTCGCTCTGCGATTATCCAACGTGTACACTCTGCTGCGGACATTCAGCACGCCGGCTCGACTGCCCTGAACCCAGTCAGCTCACCCCGCTGCCTATTCAGGTTGCCCCGAGAGCGCTCAAGTAGCTTACTGATCCACAGGGGGGATACTGCGTTCGCGTCAAGGCCATAGATGACAGGCGTGCGGCTGGCTAGCAGCAGCACCGCATCCATGTACAGCAGGTACGGCTCCAGTTCTGCGTTGAATTGGCAGTATACGGAGGTGAGGAAAATCGAGCCGAAACTTCCGGACACACTCACGCATACGCCAAACTCCGTGATGAGTGACGAGACAGGCATGCAGACGACCTCCTGGTCGTCTATGACAACTGCAGCTTTGTTGCGACTGTCGGAAAAGACTCGCATGCCTGCCGGTAATCCGGTGATTCTTCCTCCACGGTCAACATACGGCTCTTGCCGTAATGCGAACATCGCCCCAAAGTTCCTCATCCGGACTCATCCGGAGCTAACGGAGCGGGCACTAGCAGCAGCAGCAGCAGCGGACGTCGACGGCGCCTCAAGAGGGGCCGTAATCCGGGCAGCGGGGGCAGCAGGAACGGGGGCAGCGACAGTGGCAGCAGCAAGAACTGTAGACAAAGCGGCGACTCCGGCGGGGGCAGCGGGGCCGACACTGGCTGCAGCGGCGGCCAGTGAGGCGTCGCTTTCGTCGGCCGAGCTATCCTCACGCGCGCGCAGCTTCCTCGGCGGCGAGCCCGTGGGCGGCGGCATGGCTGCGGCGTCGGCAACGTTCCGAAGAACAATCTTCGGGACGCGCCCACGCTTCATCCTGGAGTTCGACCGCGTCGAACTCCCACTGCTAGCCTCAGAGTCCATCCCTGGACGTTAGGCAACGAAAAATGGCTGGCCAATCAGAACTCACTAGCGGTAAGTGGCTCACTTACGCACTATCACACGCGCAGCCAGAGATCGCTTATCGCGAAACGCACGAAATAAGCGCTTTTGAGCAGACGCTCAGCGTATTTTGTGGGCAATAAAATATTGTTTACAGCGATGATGCGCGACGATATAAACACAACCGTTCGCGGCGACGATCAGAGGCAAACTGAGACTAACTAACTTAGAGTTTCCAGTGTGATTCCACTGTATCCCACCTAGAATCCGAAAATAAAATCTTCCCCACGAAGCTACGCAACACCACCCCGTTCTCGCCCGCAGCCAAACGGGTTGCTGCCACGATGCGGCCCTGGCGTATAACGCTCCGTGCCGGATTGTGTAGCTCCCGTCGAGCTGTGGTGAGACACTCAGCTGGCAGCGGTTTCTCGCTTTGGGATTCTGGCGTATAAATCTCATTATTGCCATTATTGCCAACCAGCTCTGGCGTATAACGCTCAGAATCGGGTTGTGCGACTCTCGCCAGGCTACGGTAAGATACTTGGGTGCAGGCGGTTTCTTACGTCAGACTCTGGCGTATAACGCTCAAAGCCTTCGGCGCGATTCCGCTGCACCGAATCCCGAATTGACTAACCTCGTTCACGAGGACACATATTATATCTCCACTCTCGACACGTAATCAGACTGGCCATTGTCGTAATCCGGCCCTGGCGTATAACGCTCAGAGCCAGTTCGTACAACTCCCGCCAGATTACGTAGAGATATCTGTGTGCAGAAGGTGTCTTACGTCAGACTCTGGCGTATAACGCTCAGAGCCTTCGGCGCGATTCCGCTGCACCGAACCCCGAATTGGCCACTTTCTACACGACGACACACGCGGCAATCCCTCTCTCGACGCGTTCCCAAACCGGAGGTCGCCGCAATCCGGCTCTGGAGCCATTCGCGTGGCAGGCGTCTGTAGTCACACTCTCACAGCAAACAGCCATATCTCTGACTGCATGCCCGCGTGCAATATGGGCCGCCGCTGCCTCCGCCCACGCCGGACGCTCCTGCACAACTCACCTGTTGGTTCTGCAGTCTCCGGTGGCTTTGGCACGCGTGCGGCGGCCGCCTGCCTCACCATATCCCTCGTCGACCATGTTAGCAGCTGCCCTCCTGGATGCTGCTATGTCTCCGTTGCGGCGCTGCAGACACATAGTTGGATTGCTGTTGAGAGCTGGCCACATCGATGTCGTTCGCAACTGCCACCGGTGTCGAACTTTGACGCCGGCTGCTATTTTGCGGCTCACTCCTCATTCGCGCACAGCTCCAGCAAAGTCGCTGGCCAGTGCGCGAGGATCGGCCAACAAAACGCGCCTACGCCCCAGCACAGACAACCGGTTGGATTCGTCGCGTGGCAGGCATCGATGGTGAACCAATCTCTCAATGGGCAACCCAAAGCTGTAACTATGTGTTTTATGTATGTATAGATATATATTTTTTTATTTTTTTTTTTATTCTGAGATATAGTGTACACTTCTCTTTTTTTTTAGACATGAATGCCCGGCATCCGATACGTGTCCGCCGCACCCTGTACTTCGTGCCCCTTGCCCAGACGATGCGGGTGGTGCGCCCGCTGCCCTGGGCCTCTATCCGGGCAGCGTGTTGCTCCACTTCTAATGGCCACTCTTCACGCCGCAACTCCACCCATTGTGCTGCTCCCGCGTCGGGCCAAGATACCTGCCGCTGTAGCGTAGGCCTCTGGGGTGGTGGTGGCGCCGGCTCCGACACCTGGCGTTGTAACGCTGGCCGGGCGGGCAGTCGGATCGGCCGCCACTCCTCGTCGGCGTCCATCGACGTCTCCGGTAGCGTGGGCGGCGGCGCGGTCGCCTGTTGCGGCGTCGTCTGTGGTGGCGTCTCCTGCGGTATGGGCGGCGGCGGTGTCGCCTGTGGTGGCGTCTCCTGTGGTGGCGTCTCTGGAGGCGAAACTTCTTCTAATATGAACCCCGCGGGCTTCGTGGTGAGGGGTTCGCTCCAAGTTATGACAACCTCGGCGCGATGCTCCAAGCGACCCCCCACCACCTTTCCAGCGTAGCTGGCACTTACCCGCGGAGGTTCTGGTGTTTCTTCCTCCTCCGAATCGGAGATCACAATTATCTCATCCTGCTCGCCCACCTCGTCCTCGTCGCTGTCGATAATAATGATAGGCTGCTCTTCTTCCTCTTCCTCTTCGCTGCTCTGCAGCGCTCGGTGAGGCGTGGGCGGACGCGGTGGGCGCCATAACGGACGCGTTGGCGAATATCGGCCGTTGCGGACGTAGTCTACTCCTGCGCGCTCGTGGTCTGGACACCGGTGTGTCCACCTTGCTCGCTCCACGTGCCGCTCCAGCGTAGTCGCTGGCCAGCAACCGAGGATCGGCAGGGTGTACTCGGCCGACGCCCAGATTGAGGTTATCTTTCGCGATGCGTCCACTTTCCATCGTACTTTTTCACCAAATAGGCCGAGCCAAAGCTCGCCTGCCCATTTTATACCCTTATGCTGCCACGCCGCCGGCTGCGTAGACGGCAGCATATAACGGGTCCTGTGTCCTCTGTTCAGCCCACTCTAGCTTTCCCTGCCTTATGGCTGAATTCCAGGCAGGCCACGGTATCGCCTTGATACCGTTTTCCCCACTCTCACCTACACATGCATACATAGCCCTTCGGTGGCCGAACAACCAAATGCAAGCTCTTCTGCTGCGTTGCATTGTTGTTGGCCGTTGTATGTATCTCTTTGGTAGTGATTGTTTTATATGTCGCTGTGTATTTTGTTGTTGGCTGTTTTAGATGTCTCTGTACATTTTGTTGTTGGCGGTTTTAGATGTCGCTGTACATTTTGTTGTTGGCGGTTTTAGATGTCGCTCGCTTTGACATCTTCGTGCGCTAGTGATCGCTGGGCAGCCGACGTAGGCCCTTGACCCTTGCCTACGCTCGCTTGCTCTCGCTTCGCTGTATGTATCTTCTCACATCCCGGTACATACCTGGCCAGTAATACCGCGCTGCCACCCGAGCGATAGTTTTTCGACTCCCAAGGTGGCCAGCGGTGGCTGCGTCATGGTTCTCCTCCAGCACTTGTTTGCGCCGGTCCGCCGGCACGCACAACTTCCATGCAGCCACATCCTCGTGGCCGGCTTGATGAGGGATGTGCCGATATAAGTTTCCAGACTCTTCCATATAGTCTGGAAACTTATGTGGCGCCTTCTTTATGTCTTGCTGAAGCCTGGTGAGCCAGCGACATCCTGTCCCAGCTGGCGTCTCCTTGCTCTTGACCAATCGACACGCCTCCTCTCCCAGAGGCTGCCGTGAGAGCGCATCTGCTACCACATTCTGCTTGCCCTTCCTGTAGCGGATCTCGAAGTCATACTGCTGCAGCTCCAGTGCCCATCTGGCAATCCTTCCCGTTGGGCTCTCGATTGAATTGAGCCACTTCAGAGCCATATGGTCAGTGACCACTACAAATTTGTAGCCTTCCAGGTATGGCCTGAGCTTTCGTATGCCCCAGATTATAGCCAGACACTCTTTCTCAGTAGCTGAATAGTTCTTTTCAGCACTGTTCAGTGTCCGGCTGGCATACGAAATGACGCGCTCTCCATCCTCCGAGGTCTGCGTCAGGATTGCCCCAAGCCCATAATTGCTTGCGTCTGTTTGCAAGCAAAATGGCTTCGAGAAATCAGGGCACGCCAGCACCGGTGACTCCGTCAATTTGGCCTTTACCGTCTCGAACGCTCTTTGCCGCTCCTCCGTCCACTCCCACTTCGTGCCCTTTTTGAGCAGTGCATTTAGCGGATGCACTGTGGCTGCAAAATCTGGCACAAAGCGGCGGTACCATGAAGCCACGCCCACGTATTGCCGTAACTCTTTTACGTTTGTGGGTGGCTTCAGCTCGGCGATAGCGGCCACTTTCTCTGGATCCGTGCAAATGCCATCCTCCGTGACCTTGTGACCCAGATACTTTAGCTCTTTCTTGAAGAAATCGCACTTGTCGATGTTGATCCTCAAGTTGGCTGCCCGCAGTCGCCGGAACACCTCTCGTAGGTTGTTCATATGCTCCTGTCGCGTCCGGCCGATGACGATGATGTCGTCCAGGTAGGCAAAGGCATGGGGCATCATTTCTGGGCCGATCACTTGGTCCAGAGCTCGCTGAAACGTTGCTGGCGCAGAATGGAGTCCAAATGGCATCACTTTCCACTGAAAGAGCCCCTTTCCTGGCACCGTGAATGCCGTCAGTGGTCTGCTGGCCTTCTCCATCGGTATCTGCCAATACCCATCCTTCAAATCCAGGCTGCTGATGTAGCGCGCCTCTCGCAGTTGGTCCAGAATGTGATGCACACGCGGCAAAGGGGTATGCATCTTTGATGGATCTGCTGTTTAGCTGTCGAAAATCCACACATAGCCGCCACTTCCCATTCTTCTTACGAACCATGACAATCGGCGCGCTATGTGGGCTCTTCGAGGGCTCGATGCAGCCTTTGGCCAGCAGCTCATCCACCTGCAGGTTGATCTCCGCCTGCATCTTTGGATTTTTGGGGAAGTAGCGCTGCTTTATGGGCCTGTTATCCTGCATCCTGATCCGGTGCTCCGTGATCTTGGTGGTGCCCTTCACATGCTGGAACTTCTCCAGCTCATGCCTCAGGAAAGCATCCACCTCTGGGTCATTGTGCATAGGCGTTGGCTGTTCCATTTTCGCCTCCATCGGCGTCGCTGGGTTCGCCTCCACGCTGGCCACAACCACGGATAGCTTCTCCTCCGGCTGTCCGCTCGACTGTGGAATTCTTGGCTCGACCTTCAATGTCAAGCCACCGCACTCCAGTGTGGTGCCCATGCTGGCCAAGAAATCCCAGCCCAGCACTAGATCTTCGATCACTCCTGGCAGAATCAGCAACGGAATCTGTATTTGCCGATTCCCCAGGCTGATCGTCGCCTCCAGTTGCGAGTCCACCTGACTGCAACTGCCGTCCGCTAAGCGTATGCGCCACCGTGTAGCACGCACCACGCCCACTCCTCTGAGCTCGTCAGCAAGCTTTTCGCTGATAAAGCTGCTTGTGGCTCCCGTGTCGATCGTAGCTCTTTGTTGAGTGGCTCCAATGGCCACGATCGCCGACATCTGGCTGCCTTCATCCTGGAGGCGGCCCACTAGTGCCTGGGGGCTCCTGACTGCTGCTCCCGCTCGCCCCTGGATGGCGGGTGTCGCTTCTCGTTTCCCGACTGGCAACAGGCAAACGTTCTTACTCCAATGCGCCCGCACTGCCAGCAGAAATCCAGCGCCTTGTTGCGACACGTAAACGCGCGGTGCCCCTCCTGGCCACACACTCGGCATGCCCTGGCTGGATTCGGGATGTGTGTCCTTGCTCCGGTTGCGCCTGTCCTTGGCGCAGGAGAAGGCTTCGCCTCATCCTCCATGCGGCGATACTCCACATCGCCTCCAGCGTCGTCCATGGCCATCAGTCGTGACCGGCTATGCCGTGGCTGTTGTCGCAACCTCTCGCGGTCCTTCTCCAGCTCCTCGAACTCATCTGCCAGGTGCATCAACTCCACGAGACTATGGAATTGATAGGGGCGGGCGTAGGCACGCAGATCGGGAAGGCTGTTGTTGTAGATGAGCTTCATCTCATTGTCTGCTCCATAGCGCAGAGGCCGCATGAGGGTCTGCATCTCCACCATGTAGACCTTAAAGCTCTCATCTACCATTTGCCTCCGGCGTTTGACGTCATCCTCCAGCTTCTCCAGATAGCCTCTGGGCAGGAAAAACTCCTGGAAGCTGCGCACGAATGTCGCCCACGCCGTCCAGTGCCGGTTGTTGGCCACGTACCATTTTAATGCCATGCCCTTCAGCAGCTCTGGCATCGCCCGCGGGATCATGTCCAGATCCAGACCATAGGTGTCCGCCGACCACTCCACCTGCTCCAAGAATTCCAAAGGCTTTGTGGTGCCATCAAAGCGGAAGCTCCACTCCCGCACTTGTTTGGCCACCTTTGGATATTCCTGAGCTGTGCTGTCGTGTCCTCGTGGCCTAATTTCCGGTTGCGGGGTGGATGTGGCTCTCATCTCACCCTGTCGCGTGCCCTGCAGTCGTGCTGCTGCGCTTGTGGAGGGCACACAGAGCCGCGCCACATGCGCAAGCTCTGATTCCAGGTCGTCCTCCGTGACGGCGGTCGTTGCCTCATCCCTGAGTGAGGCACGGCGTCCATGCAGTCGCTCCAGCTCGGCGATCCTCAGTGAGTAAGGAATGCTTCCTTCATTCCTCGCAACCCATTCGCCAAACTGCCTCCGCATAACGTCTAGTGTGCCTGACAAGCTCACTCCGAATTCGTCACCATAACGCAGCACTTCATCTTTTTATACTCATTCACGAAAGTGAATCAGTATATTGGTTTTGTGCAATGTCCGTCTTGCTGTCCGTCCGTCTGTCCGTCTGTCCGTCCGTCCGTCTGTCCGTCTGTCCGTATGAACGCAATCTATTTCGGCGCTATTGAAGCTAGAGACTTGAAATTTGGAACACATACTCGTGTATATCTCCGATTTATAAAGTGTTGAAATTTTCCCGATCCGCCCTCTAGGGGCGTGGCAAATCGGAAAATGCATTTTCCGATATACCAGAAATCATGTTTGTTGAAGAGCTAGAAAGTTGAAACTTGGTATGTAGGTCCGCGTTGACCACCCAAGATCACGAGCTATGGCGGATATATCTACGCCCATTGGGGGCGTGGCAAATCGGATAAAACGGTATCTCCTAAAGTTGTAAACCTAGAATGCTGAAATTTTGCACGTCAGCTAATGGTATGATTCTATAAAGTCTGAAGATAAATTATAAGTCTACGCCTATTGGGGGCGTGGCAAATAGGACCTGAAGATATAGTGATTTTTTAAATTCTCCTATATTTTGGACACTATTGATGGCAGAGACCTCAAATTTTGTATATATACTCGGACTGATCACCCAAGACCAAAAAGTTTTGTCGGATATATGTCCGCCCACAGGGGGGCGTGGCAAACCGCAAAAGTTTATATCTCCTAAAGTATAATAGCTAGAAGCTTCAAATTTGGATAGTTGAGTTACTGGTAGCCTCATCTATCGATTCCCCAAAAATAATTTTTACGCCTTTTTAGGGGCGTGGCATATCGAAAAATACCCTGTAATTTTCACATTTTTTTAGGGTAAGCATTCAAACTTTGCAGTTAGGGTAACGTTATCTCTTTCTAAAAACTGACCAAAAATGAGGTGTCTACGCCCAGTTGGGGCGTGGCAAATCGGAAAAACCTGTATATTCTACAGTATTAGAACGAAACTTAACTACTAAATTGTTGATGGGATGTGAATGAGTATTCCGCAGTCGGTAACGCCCGACTGCAACGTTCTTACTTGTTTAAGATTGTATACCCACGCTCGCACCATATTCACAAGTATTCACTAATCACACTCTTATCGCAGGGCCCCACGTTGGGCGCCAGTTGTAACGAACCTTCGGTTTATCCCGAGTCTAAGCTGGGCTAGTTTCAGCTGACTGTGGATTCGATGCCAACAAATTTATTTGTTGAAGCCCCTGCGATAATTAATTAGTCTTGTGGTTTAGGTTTTATAGCGCAACAGTATATTTTCTTAAATAAATATGAAATGTACACGTCACTTATGTAGATGTATGCTGGCTCGCTGGTTTGCTTAGCGACGCACACCTACTGAGCGCTGGTTCAACGCACTCCGGCTGGGAGAGTGTTGTGCTAAACACGCTAGCTCACTGTAAGGATTTGAGAAACGCCAGGATCTGGATCTGTAAACTCTGGCGGTTCGCCAGCTATGCCGATCTCTCCTACTATCTCGCTCACTCACAGCACAACACTAGCTTCGTTCACTCACAAGCACTTCTCTTACGCACGGCTACGCGAACTCACCCAGGTGTGCAGGCCTCGCTTACGTTGCTGATATGCACCGATGTCCTGATCGGCGCCTGCTGATGATTTGCAAGGATTCCCACTGGATGTCCTTGCTGTTTCCACGATGTCCTTGCTGTTCTCACGATGTCCTGGGAGTCCTGTTTTACCACTCGCGTTGACTTGATTTCGACACTTTCTTCACTTTTACTTTTATAAATTTCGACGGCAACACTCTCTCGTATCGTTTCGACTCCTTTTTACTTCCCGTATGGAGCTGCTGGTGGCCTTTTATACCCCAGCCACAGGCCCTGCTTCGTGTGGTAACGGGGCCTCTTCGGCTCTGGAGCGGGGCCTTCCTGCTGCTCGTGCCCATAAAAACGGTAAAGTGGCGTGATCTGGGTGACGCCACTTTCCCGCCAAATTGCGTGGCAGCCTCCCATTGGCCGAAGTACCGTTGTTGCCATGCGAGTGAAAACGTCCACTGCTATCACCCGGCCCGAACGGCACCTCGGCTAACGGTCACCGATGATCGTCGTGCGTGCGACGCGAACCCATTGCTGAATCTGTAGGGCGAAAGATCCCGCCTCTAACAGGACTTTGACCCCCTTTCCAGTGCGAGGGTCGCTCCTACAGTATTCGCGTCGCTGTGTGGAGCAACATGTATATGCGCGTATATGCATATAGACGCACAGCAAATACATACATTTATATACATTAATACGTGCATACCTATATTGCTCCTCACAATACATTAATACGTGCATACCTATATCGCTCCTCACACTCCCCTCTTCCTTCAGGAAAACACGAGACCATCGCGCTTGAATTTGGCGCCCGTCTCCGCTGCGTTGCTCCGTTTTGCGTCGCTCCATCCCTCGATGCTCCATTCTGCGCTGATCGCTGCTGTTAACGTTATCAGCTGCATTTTCCCCTTACCGCTGGCAATGCTGCATTCTGCCGGTAAGTGAATGGGGTTAATATTTTTATGTATCAATCACATTTTTAATAAAAATATTGTTTTCAGGCTGGGCATCTTTTCCTTTATGCCCCTTGACCTGATGGCCTGCCGCTGCCAATGCCCACGCCGGGTGCTGCTGCAAAACTCGCCTCTCGGTTTTGCAGCCCCCGGTGGCATTGGCGCACGCGCGCATGGCAATGGCCATTTCATGCATTGGCGCATGTTGTCCCTCGCCGCTGGAGATGTCTTTCTGCTGATCCCTGTTGCTTCTTGGGCCCTTGGGGATGCTCCGGTGGGGCATCGCAGTCAATACATGCACTGCTGCTATGAGATCGGGCCACAGACGCCATTCGCGTGGCAGGCGTCTGTAGTCACACTCTCACAGCAAACAGCCACATCTCCGACTGCATGCCCGCGTGCAATATGGGCCGCCGCTGCCTCCGCCCACGCCGGACGCTCCTGCACAACTCGTGCGTTCCAATTATGGATTGTTTGTTTGAAAGCTGGCCACCTCGATGTCGTTCGCAACTGCCACCGGTGCCGAACTTTGACGCCGACTGGCATTTGCGGCACACTCCTCATTCGCGCACAGCTCACAGCAAAATCGCTGGCCAGTGCGCGAGGATTCGGCCAGCAAAACGCGTCTACGCCTCAGTACGGCAACCGGAAGAGCAGTCGCGTGGCAGGCATCAAGAGTGAACCAACCTCAATCCAAAGCTGTAAATATGTGGTTTTATTTTGTTTTTTTTTTCTTTATTCTGAAAAGTCATATACATATTGCAAGTTTTCAGATAAATTGGAACGCTCGGCATCCGGTACGTGCCCGTCGCACCCTGTATTTCATGCCCCTTGCCCAGACGATGCGGGCGGTGCGCCCGCTGCCCTGGGCCTCTATCCGGGCAGCGTGTTGCTCCACTTCTAATGGCCACTCTTCACGCCGCAACTCCACCCATTGTGCTGCTCCCGCGTCGGGCCAAGATACCTGCCGCTGTAGCGTAGGCCTCTGGGGTGGTGGCGGCGCTGGCTCCGACACCTGGCGTTGTAACGCTGGCCGGGCGGGCAGTCGGATCGGCCGCCACTCCTCGTCGGCGTCCATCGACGTCTCCGGTGGCGTGGGCGGCGGCGGTCCAAATACGGCCGATGGCGTCGTAGCCGTCTCTTCGGCTGCCGGTGTGGGTGAAACGGCAGTCTCACCGGCGGCAGCCGCGTTTTACTCCTGCGCGCTCGTGGTCTGGACACCGGTGTGTCCACCCTGCTCGCTCCTCGTGCCGCTCCAGCGTAGTCGCGGGCCAGCAACCGAGGATCGGCAGGGTGTACCCGGCCGATGCCCACATCGAGATTATCTTTCGCGATGCGTCCACTTTCCATAGTAACTTTTCACCAAATAGGCCGAGCCAAAGCTCGCCTGCCCATTTTATACCCTTATGCTGCCGCGTCGCCGCTGCGTTGGCGGCAGCATATAACGGGTCCTGTGTCCTCTGTTCAGCCCACTCTAGCTTTCCCTGCCTTATGGCTGAATTCCAGGCAGGCCACGGTATCGCCTTGATACCGTTTTCCCCACTCTCACCTACACATGCATACATAGCCCTTCGGTGGCCGAACAACCAAATGCACGCTCTTCTTCTGTGTTGCATTGTTGTTGGCCGTTTTATGTATCTCTTCGGTAGTGATTGTTTTATATGTCGCACGACTACTGCCTATTTTGGTTTCCGACAACCTGGAAACTGGGTTAACACCGGCGGCACCTCCGAAGAGATAACCTACCAGATTAAGGCTCTGGTCCGCCCTTCGACGCCTCCAAAATTGGATTTGTCTTCCAGATTAAGGCTCTGGTCAGCCCTTCGACGCCTCCAAATTGGATTTGTCTTCCAGATTAAGGCTCTGGTCAGCCCTTCGACGCCTCCAGAATTGGATTTGTCTTCCAGATTAAGGCTCTGGTCAGCCCTTCGACGCCTCCAGATTGGATTTGTCTTCCAGATTAAGGCTCTGGTCAGCCCTTCGACTCTCTCCGAGAAGAGAGTCTGCCAGATTGAGGCTCTGGTCGGCCTTTCGACTGATCCCGAAGGACTTCGTCTCCAAAATTTAAGGACTTTGGTCCGACCCTCGTAGATAAGTCTACTACCAGTTTTGACTAACGTCAGTCCGGCACTGGTCTGCCAGGTCCTCCGCCATCGATCAGCATGCGTCGCCTGCTGAAGACTGAGCGAGCATTATCCTCAAGCAGTTGCATGCTCTCCGCATCCACCAAGGTCCTCTCCATGGTCCAGTCACCGGATGTAGACTGCTGCATCCTAAGTCCTTGCAGATCCCGCACATCCGCTTAGAGGGGGCAGGCACACAGTACGTGTAGCCAGTCCTCTAGGGGATGGCCACATAGGCATCCAGCAGTCTCGCTCAGACCGCGCGCGTGCAGAAAAGCATTCAACGAACCATGACCAGTTATGAGGAATCTGGTCGAAACGTCTTGACCGTAGAGCCAATCGCCCTCTACCATCGGGTAGCTCCTCTTCAGCTCAAACTGCATAGCGTTGTGCGTCGCAACAAGGTCCAGCGGCGAGGCTTCAGCCAGCACTTCAAGGGCATCTGTAGATACCGTTCGGCACGTAAGCAAACATCCTAACAGGATAATGCGATGGTAGGACTTGAGCGACCTCCTGGCGCCGACTAGTCTCATCACCACCGTGTACCACACCGAAGCACCAAATAATGCACAAGGTACCATGAGTCCGGCATATATCCTTCGCCGTGCGCGCGGACTGAGTCCCCAGTCAACGCGTAGCACACGGGTCAGGGCTCCGACGACTCCGGCCAGCCGATCGCGTAAAGATGCGATATGCGGCAGGAAACTCAACCGCTCGCCAGCCGTGATGCCAAGGTAACGATATTGCGTCACATACCGTAGATTTGCTCCTGCAAATCTAACGGCGGGATTTCTGCCAGCTGACAGCTTTCCCTTAAGGAGCATCGTCACAGTCTTCGTTGCCGAGACTGAGACGCCTACCTCTATGCCCCATCCTCCAACTATCTCCATTAGCTGGGCGCCTGTGAGCTCCAGTTGGGATCTGGAATTCCCTTCGACGAGCAGCAGCAAATCGTCAGCGTATGCACTGAAAGTGCAATGCGCTTCAAGGCGGCGCAGGAGCACATCCATCAAGATGTTCCATATGAATGGACCACTGATGGACCCCTGCGGGCAGCCACGTGAAACATTCACATTTGCTTCGCCAAAGCTGCTGATGATGCTAGCTTTTCGGTCCGAAAAGAAGCAGCGCCAGATCCCAATTTCCCTGCATCCTAGATCCGATAGTCGGCGTAACGCTGCATCCCATTCGACATGGTCGAATGCTCCTTTGAAGTCGATGAAGACTCCGAGCACATATCGGGCCGAGCTGGCCTCGACACTGCTCAGAACATGCCTCCAGGCGTCCTCCACGCAGCGTCCGGGGCGAAAGCCGAATTGCCATCGGCTCTCGTCCGTGAGCACCTCCTTCACACGGTTCACCATGATCTCTTCCAGCACTTTGCCAAAGACAGGCAGCAGGCAGATGCCTCGATAGGACGCTGGATCACTCCTGTCCTTGTCGAGGCCTTTGAGGAGCGCAACCACACGTGGGCGCTTCTACTCAAGTGGAAAATATCCATCTGCCAGGCAGCGGGAATACAACGCTGTCATGTGCTCCGGGATGGCGCGCCAGGCCGCTTTGACCATACCCCCAGTGATGCCGTCTAAGCCAGGTGAGCGCCTGCTCCGAGCTCTGGCGATGCACATCTCCACCTCGAAAGTTTCGAGGGCTGGGGGTACTTCGCGAGGAACGACAATGTCCACTGGCCTCTCCGCAACTGGAAAAAAGTTGCGGAGCAGGACATTCGCGCAGTCGTGCCAGGTTACGTACTGCTCATTGTTCCAGCGAAGGCAACCGAAATCGGTGCGCGTCTTGCGGCCATGGCAGATCTTGTAGACAGATCCCCATGGGTCATCCTGATGCTCGCCGACATATCTCCTCCAATCCTCCTCTTTCGCCTTAAGCATCATCCTCTCGAATTCCTTTCGGGTGATCCTGAAATACGAGGCAAGGGCACTGGCACTCTCACTTTGCGTGCGGCGCGCATGCTGGAGCCTTCGCCGGGCTCTCCTGAGCGCACGGCGTGCGTCCGTGAGGGCGGCATTCCACCAGCCCACACGGCGTCTAGCTCGCGGTTGTCGACGCCCAAACAATGTGTCGCTCACCTGATGAACCAGGGAGCGAAGTGCGGCCACCTGTGCATCCGATGACAAAAGGCGAAAATCCTCAAGGGGGATATCCATCGATGCAGTCCTCAACTCATCACAGAAACGCCGCCAGTCAGCATTCTGGAGTTGCCACGAGGGCACAGGAGCAGAGCTCTCAACTGTGCTTTCCGGATCAAGCGTCACCACAACAGTGATGATGTTGTGGTCGCTTAAATCCCACTCGCTTACACTCCAGTCATACGCGGCCCACGTAGACGCTGAATCACTGACGATAGTCACGTCAATATCGCTCCTCGCCCTGCGATTATCGAACGTGTACACTCTGCTGCGGACATTCAGCACGCCGGCTCGACTGCCCTGAACCCAGTCAGCTCGCAGCTCACCCCGCTGCCTGTTCAGGTAGCCCCGAGAGCGCTCGGGTAGCTTACTGAACCACAGGGGGGATACTGCGTTCGCATCAAGGCCATAGATGACAGGCGTACGGCTGGCTAGCAGCAGCACCGCATCCATGTACAGCAGGTACGGCTCCAGTTCTGCGATGAATTGGCAGTATACGGAGGTGAGGAATATCGAGCCGAATCTTCCGGACACACCCACGCATACGCCAAACTCCGTGATGAGTGACGAGACAGGCATGCAGACGACCTCCTGGTCATCTACGACAATTGCAGCTTTGTTGCGACGGTCGGAGAAAACTCGCATGCCTGCCGGCAATCCGGTGATCCTTCCCCCACGGTCAACATATGGTTCTTGCAGCAATGCGAACATCGCCCCAGAGTTCCTCATCCGGACCCCTAGGTCGACAACGGCAGCTCTGCTGCGACCGCAGTTAGCCTGAATGATGCTAAACATTGTTAATGTTTAGCAGCCACCCTGGCGAGCACACGTCCGTAAATCGGGCAGGTCTCTGAGAGCATATGATGCCCCGCGGGTAAACCCTTAAAGCTGCAGTTCCTGGAATGTACAGGATTCCTGCAACCCGAGACACGATGCCCCGATTGTCCACATCGCTTACAGGTCTGCTCCTTCATCCGACACATGGCTACTATGGTCAAAACTGAAACATCTAAAGCAGGCATATGTCGGGGTCAGTGGATGCCATCGGAAAGAGAACCACTCCACGTAGATTCTCTCCGAATCCTCCAAGATGTCCAGCGCCTTGCGTTCCATTTCCAGGATGATGTTGACCGTGGGTCCATCTTCACTGCTCCAGGGCTTCGAGGCTATCTTGACCGACTTCTCGAACGCTGCATTGGAGCAGTGTCCGAAGAAGTGGTTCTTAGCCCTTCCATGAAATTGTTCGGCGAGATGCTGCTGTCCACGTTGATTACATTTATCCTGGGCCTGGGTGCTGCGTTCTCTTTAACATCGAGACCGACCTCCTTAAACTTCGGGTTCGCAAGAACCCTCCGTATCTCACCAGCAGATGGCGTGCGAATGACCGCACCGCCACGCTTCAGCTCACGCACCTCGTGAACACGAACACCGAGGGCGGGCGTCTCCTCCGGGTTGTTGGACGTCACGATCGCTGACCACGTTTCCGCAATTTTGCGGGCCCGAGGAAGAGCGACCGGAGCAGCGGCTGCAGTTACAGTAACAGCAGCGTAGGAAGCGGCGGGTGCAGCGGGCGCAGCTTGTGGGGCGGCGGCCTGGGGGCGAGTCCTAAGCATGGTCTCCAGCTCCTTCATCCTACCATACATCTCCAGGATTAACTCCTGGAACTTGGCAGCGTTGTCCAGCACGCTGAGCGCAACAGCGCCAGGCACGTTGTCGGCAACAACGGCTCTCCGGAGCTCTCTTTCGATGGCCAACATACGTTGTACCATCGAGTTTGAGCTCGCGGTACCAGCTCCAGCCGGCACCGAGCTCACGGAGCGGGCGCTGGCAGCAGCAGCGGCAGCGGACGTCGACGGCGCCTCCAGAGGGGCCGGATTCCGGGCAGCATGGGTAGCAGTGGCGGCGGTGGCAGCTGCGGCGGGGGCAGCAGCAGCTGCGGCAGCAGCTAAAATAGCCTCCATGGCAGGGATGGCAGCGGGGGCAGCAGCGTTGGCAGCGGCGTTGGCAGCGGCGTTGGCAGCGGGGGCGGCGGTGGGGGCAGCGGAAGCAGCAGAGGCAACGATGGCTGCAGTGGCAACCAGCGACGCATCGCTCTCATCCGCAGAGCTGTCCACGTGGACTCGCAGCTTTCGCGGCGGCGAGTCCGTTGGCGGCGGCGAGTCCGTTGGCGGCGGCATGGCTGCGGCGTCGGCAACGTTCCGAAGATGGTTCTTCGACCCGCGCCCACGCTTCTTCCTGGAGTTCGACCGCGTCGAACTCCCACTACTCGCCTCAGAGTCCATCCCTGGACGCTAGGCAACGAAAAAGCACTGCTACCCGAAAGTATGCAGTGGTTTTGTACAGTTCGCAAAAGTATGCAACTCTTTTTTAGCTCGCGCAAGATACTCAATTCTGATTGGCTGGCCAATCAGAACTAAGCAACGGTAAGCACCAACGGTAAGTACACCGACGCACTAACACACGCGCAGCCGGAGATCGCTTATCGCGAAATGCTCGAATTAAGCTCTTTTAAGCAGCACTCAGCGTATTTTATTGCAGGGCAATAAAATACAGTTCACAGCGATGATGCGCGACAGAAAATACACAACCGTACGCGGCGACGATCAGAAGCAAACTGGTTTGCGCGTCGAACAGTGATTTGGGCAGCCTAGGCTCTCGCCCTTGCGTGATGAAGGCGGCGGAATATCCTGTGGATGCTGACACGCTGCTGTTGACCGCCAACGTCAACTCCGGCAATGCGTCGTCCCAGCATCTCTGGTCATCTCCAGCGAACTGCGCAATCATCGTTTTCACTGTCCTGTTGGCCCTCTCAGTGGGATTCTCTTGAGGTGTGTATGGTGCTGTCAGCTGGTGGCGCACCCCAAGCTCCTCTAGAAACACCTTGAATGCCCGACTGGTGAATTGGGTACCATTATCCATAATGAGCACCTTTGGCGTGCCGAACCGCGCCAAGATCCGCTCTCGAAATGCCTTTTGGAGAGCCGCGCTATTCGCGCTCCGCAGCGGCACCATCTCCGTCCATTTCGAGAAGCGGTCTATGAAAACCAAAAGCATAGTGTTCCCATGCTTTGATCTCGGCAGTGGGCCAACAAAATCAGCACAAACTGTTGCCCATGGCTCCTCGGGCACCTGTGTCAGCATTTGCCCAGCAGCTTGCAGCTGACTGGGCTTATATCGCTGGCACACCTCGCAGCGCTGTATGTATCTTCTCACATCCCGGTACATACCTGGCCAGTAATACCGCGCTGCCACCCGAGCGATAGTTTTTCGGCTCCCAAGGTGGCCAGCGGTGGCTGCGTCGTGGTTCTCCTCCAGCACTTGTTTGCACCGGTCCGCCGGCACGCACAACTTCCATGCAGCCACATCCTCGTGGCCGGCTTGATGAGGGATGTGCCGATATAAGTTTCCAGACTCTTCCATATAGTCTGGAAACTTATGTGGCGCCTTCTTTATGTCTTGTCGAAGCCTGGTGAGTCAGCGACATCCTGTCCCAGCTGGCGTCTCCTTGCTCTTGACCAATCGACACGCCTCCTCTCCCAGAGGCTGCCGTGAGAGCGCATCTGCTACCACATTCTGCTTGCCCTTCCTGTAGCGGATCTCGAAGTCATACTGCTGCAGCTCCAGTGCCCATCTGGCAATCCTTCCCGTTGGGCTCTCGATTGAATTGAGCCACTTCAGAGCCATATGGTCAGTGACCACTACAAATTTGTAGCCTTCCAGGTATGGCCTGAGCTTTCGTATGCCCCAGATTATAGCCAGACACTCTTTCTCAGTAGCTGAATAGTTCTTTTCAGCACTGTTCAGTTACCGTCTCGAACGCTCTTTGCCGCTCCTCCGTCCACTCCCACTTCGTGCCCTTTTTGAGCAGTGCATTTAGCGGATGCACTGTGGCAGCAAAATCTGGCACAAAGCGGCGGTACCATGAAGCCACGCCCACGTATTGCCGTAACTCTTTTACGTTTGTGGGTGGCTTCAGCTCGGCGATAGCGGCCACTATCTCTGGATCCGTGCAAATGCCATCCTCCGTGACCTTGTGACCCAGATACTTTAGCTCTTTCTTGAAGAAATCGCACTTGTCGATGTTGATCCTCAAGTTGGCTGCCCGCAGTCGCCGGAACACCTCTCGTAGGTTGTTCATATGCTCCTGTCGCGTCCGGCCGATGACGATGATGTCGTCCAGGTAGGCAAAGGCATGGGGCATCATTTCTGGGCCGATCACTTGGTCCAGAGCTCGCTGAAACGTTGCCGGCGCAGAATCAAATCCAGGCTGCTGATGTAGCGCGCCTCTCGCAGCTGGTCCAGAATGTGATGCACACGCGGCAAAGGGTATGCATCTTTGATGGATCTGCTGTTTAGCTGTCGAAAATCCACACATAGCCGCCACTTCCCATTCTTCTTACGAACCATGACAATCGGCGCGCTAGTTTTTTAGTTTTTTAGTTGGGCGCCAGTTGTAACGAACCTTCGGTTTATCCCGAGTCTAAGCTGGGCTAGTTTCAGCTGACTGTGGATTCGTTGCAAACAAATTTATTTGTTGAAGCCCCTGCGATAATTAATTAGTCTTGTGGTTTAGGTTTTATAGCGCAATGGTATATTTTCTTAAATAAATATGAAATGTACACGTCACTTATGTAAATGTATGCTGGCTCGCTGGTTTGGTTAGCGACGCACACCTACTGAGCGATTGTTCAACGCACTCCGGCTGGGAGAGTGTTGAGCTAAACACGCTAGCTCACCGTAAGGATTTGAGAAACGCCAGGATCTGGATCTGTAAATTCTGGCGGTTCGCCAGCTATGCCGATCTCTCCTACTATCTCGCTCACTCACAGCACAACACTAGCTTCGTTCACTCACAAGCACTTCTCTTACGCACGGCTACGCGAACTCACCCAGGTGTGCAGGCCTCGCTTACGTTGCTGATATGCACCGATGTCCTGATCGGCGCCTGCTGATGATCTGCAAGGATTCCCACTGGATGTCCTTGCTGTTCCCACGATGTCCTTGCTGTTCCCACGATGTCCTGGGAGTCCTGATTTACCACTCGCGTTGACTTTCACTTGACTTTCTTCACGCACTTTCACTATATAGCTTCTCACCGGTATATTTTCGACTTCTTTTTACTTCCCGTGTGGAGCTGCTGGTGGCCTTTTATACCCCAGCCACAGCCCTGCTTCGTGTGGTAACGGGGCCTGTTCGGCTCTGGAGCGGGGCCTTCCTGCTGCTCGTGCCCATAAAAACGGTAAAGTGGCGTGATCTGGGTGACGCCACTTTCCCGTCAAATTGCGTGGCAGCCGCCCATTGGCCGAAGTACCGTTGTTGCCATGCGAGTGAAAACGTCCACTGCTATCACCCGACCCGAACGGCACCTCGGCTAACGGTCACCGATGATCGTCGTGCGTGCGACGCGAACCCATTGCTGAATCTGTAGGAGCGAAAGAGACCGCCTCTAAAAGGACTTTGACCCCCCTTTCCAGTGCGAGGGTCGCTCCTACAGTATTCGCGTCGCTGTGTGGAGCAACATGTATATGCACGTATATGCATATAAACGCACAGCGAATACATACGTTTATATACATTAATACGTGCATACCTATATTGCTCCTCACAATACAGATCCCCATGGGTCATCCTGATGCTCGCCAACGTATCGCCTCCAATCCTCCTCTTTTGCCTTGAGCATCATCCTCTTGTATTCCTTTCGGGTGATCCTGAAATACGAGGCAAGGGCACTGGCACTCTCACTTTGCGTGCGGCGCGCATGCTGGAGCCTACGCCGTGCTCTCCTGAGCGTACGGCGTGCGTCCGTGAGGGCGGCATTCCACCAGCCCACGCGGCGTCTGGCTCGCGGCTGTCGACGCCCAAACAGAGTGTCGCTCACCTGATGGACTAGGGAGCGCATAACTAGGACTAGGGAGCGATGTCATAAGACGAAAGTTCTCCATGGGGATTTCCATCGATGCAGTCCTCAACTCATCACAGAAACGCCGCCAGTCAGCATTCTGGAGTTGCCACGAGGGCACAGGAGCAGAGCTCTCAACTGTGCTTTCCGGATCAAGCATCACCACAACAGTGATGATGTTGTGGTCGCTTAAATCCCACTCGCTTACACTCCAGTCATACGCGGGCCACGTAGACGCTGAATCACTGACGATTGTCACGTCAATATCCCCTGCGATTATCAAACGTGAAGACTCTGCTGCGGACATTCAGCACGCCGGCTCGACTGCCCTGAACCCAGTCAGCTCGCAGCTCACCCCGCTGCCTGTTCAGAGCCCCGAGAATCTTCCGGACACACTCACGCATACGCCAAACTCCGTGATGAGTGATGAGACAGGCATGCAGACGACCTCCTGGTCGTCTATGACAACTGCAGCTTTGTTGCGACTGTCGGAAAAGACTCGCATGCTTGCCGGTAATCCGGTGATCCTTCCTCCACGGTCAACATACGTCTCTTGCCGTAATGCGAACATCGCCCCAGAGTTCCTCATCCGGACTCCAAGGTCGACAACGGCAGCTCTACTGCGACCGCAGTTAGCCTGGATGACTCTAAACATTGTTAATGTCTAGAGGCCACCCTGGCGAGCACTCGTCCGTAGATCGGGCAGGCCTCTGAGAGCATGTGATGCCCCGCGGGTACACCGTTAAAACTGCAGTTCCTGCAATGCACAGGATTTCTACAGCCCGAGGCACGGTGCCCCGATTGTCCGCATCGCTTACACACCTGCTCCTTCATCCTGCATGTTGCCACTTTGTGGTCAAAACTGACACATCTGTGGCAAGCATAGGTCGGCGTCATCGGGTGCCAGCGGAAAGAGAACCACTCTATGTATATGCGCTCGCTATCCTCCAGGATATCGAGTGCCTTTCTCTCCAGCTCCAGTTGCACGTTGACCGTGGGTCCAGCGTCGCTGTTCCATGGCTTCGACGAGATCCTCACCGACTTCTCGAACGCTGCATTGGAGCAGTGCCCGAAGAAGTGGTTTTTGAACAGCCCTTCCATGAACTGCTTCGGCGTGATGCTGCTCTCCACATTCAGGCCGTTAATCCTTGGCCTGAGAGCTGCGTTCTCTTTTACATCCAATCCAACTTCCTTGAACTTCGGGTTCGCAAGAACCTTCCGTATCTCGCCGGAGGATGGCGTGCGAATAATCGCACCACCTTGAATAAGCTCACGCACTTCGTGCACGCGCACACCAAGTGCGGGCGCGACTTCCTTGCGGATACGCTCAGCAACTTGCTGAGGTGTCTCCTCCGGATTGCTCGACGTCACAATCGCCGACCAAGTTTCCGCAACTTTGCGGGCCCGAGGTGCAGCGACCGGAGCAGCGACTGCAGATGCAGTGACAGCGGCGTAGGAAGTGGCGGGGGCAGCACTCACTTGTGGGGCGGCAGCCTGGGGGCGAGTCCTCGCAATGGTCTCCAGCTCCTTCATCCTCCCGTACATCTACAGGATCAGCTCCTGGAACTTGGCAGCACTGTCCAGCACGCTGAGCGCAACGGTGCCTGGCACATTGTCAGCGACAACGGCCAACATCCGTTGAACCATTGATTTGGAGCTCGCGGCACCAGCTCCAGCCAGCACCGAGCTAACGGAGCGGGCACTAGCAGCAGCAGCGGCAGCGGACGTCGACGGCGCCTCAAGAGGGGCCGTAATCCGGGCAGCGGGGGCAGCAGGAACGGGGGCAGCGGCAGTGGCAGCAGCAAGAACTGCAGCCAAGGCGGCGACTCCAGCGGGGGCAGCGGGGCCGACACTGGATGCAGCGGCGGCCAGTGAGGCGTCGCTTTCGTCGGCCGAGCTATCCTCACGCGCGCGCAGCTTCCTCGGCGGCGAGTCCGTGGGCGGCGGCATGGCTGCGGCGTCGGCAACGTTCCGAAGAACAATCTTCGGGACGCGCCCACGCTTCTTCCTGGAGTTCGACCGCGTCGAACTCCCACTGCTAGCCTCCCACTGCTAGCCTTAGAAGCGTAAGAGCTTTCGATTCTGCTCGCCGCGGCGTCGCTGCATTTTGCTCTTAGCCTCGCTCTTAATTATGCATTTCGACCGCGCTGTTGTGTGGGGAGAGGCGCCGTTAGATTTCCAATGTTGCTTGCCGTTGTCGTCCGTTATGTCATTGTTGTTGTAACTAGTGTTCTGCTGCTCTGTGTGCGTCGCGAGTTGCGTGGTGTAGACTGTACTCGGTTGTCGTTTTGATTTTATATGTCGTTTTCTGTTGCTGTCCGTTTGTCATTGTTACTGTCCGATGTTATTGCTGCTGTTGCCATGCAGCCTGCGCGCTAGCTAGTCGCCGTTAGGTTTCCTCCGTTGTTCTCTGACCTCGTCCGTGTTGTCGTTGTTATTGCCCGCGGCTGCGCCGCTCTACTGCTACCCTACACTAAAAAAAAATAAGACGGGTATATCTATTTTGCGTACATATATATTTCTATGAATTTTCCAGGGGTCGGGGTCGGAGATGAAAATGTGATTCTTCACACCCCCTTTTTTTTGCCGAGGGGGTGTTCCGCGGGTTCGTCGACTTTGGTGCCTCTCTTAGCCGCAATATTGCTGGTGGCCCGGTGCGGGTCCGGCCGATCCGGTAGCGGAGTCCGTTGAATATTTTGGCGTAACGGATACGCTTCAGGGCCGGCTCCTGGATTTCCCGCTCTACATGCGCCACGAGGTCTTGGGGCAGGGTGGCCTCGTCGGTTAGCCATCCAGCGGGGGTGGCTACCCAGCGGCCCGGAGTTGGGAGCGCCCGCCCGGGTGTCACGGGGGTGCGGAAGGTGACCCCCTCCAGCGGTGGGCTCTGCTCCGTCCTCTCCTGCCGGCGTCGCTGGGCGTGGTAGCCCTCCCCCATGCGGCTACCCGGGTCGTCCAGTATGGTCTGTGGTAGGCGGGGTGGGGTGGCCCGATTATCCTCGTCGTTCTCCTCCGGGGAGTTCTGGCGACGCTCGGCCTCCGCCTCGTCGTCCCAGCCGCTGTCGTCGGACAGGGTCCAGGTGGGGGTCACGCCTTGAAATGGGGGCGGGGTGCAGGAACAGGACGAGGTTGTGGCTTCGACGAGGCGTGTTGTGATGTCTCTGTTGGCTTCAGTGGGGTTTGCGGAGGTGACTTCGATAGTGGCGGGGGCGTCGGACATAGTGGCGATTCCGGTAGTGTCGGCTTCGTTGAGGGTCGTGGCCGGGGCGTTGGTGTTGGGCGTGACCGCGGTCGTGTCGGCCTTGGTGAGGCGACAGGCTCTGACTCCGTTAAGGCCCCGACGTGGGGTGCCGATCGTAGGTGGCTCCGGCGGTGCCCGGTTATGTAGCACGGCCCGGTACACCTCCTCGAGTAGTGCCACGTCCGAAAGGCGTCGGTAATCCGGGAGGTAGTCCACCCGCTCTTCCCCTGCCAGCCGGACGTCGGGCCTAAAGGCCGCTGCGCGGGCATGCTGCGCTTCGAGGCGGACCCGATGGCGCTCCTCATCCACGATCGGGTAATGCCGGTTGATGGCGAGGCTGAACTCGGGCAAAAGGGTGTCCCAATCGTTTTGGCGTTTCCCTAGGTATTGTGCGATCATTGTTTTGACTGTCCTGCTCGCACGCTCCGTTGGGTTATGGTTTGGGCTCTATGGTGCGGTATGTTGCAACTCGATACCTGCCCGCCGCGTGTAGTCCTTGAAGGCTTTACTGGTGAATTGTGTCCTGTTGTCACATACCAAGACCTTCGGGGCTCCGAAGTGGTTTATAACTCTTTCCTGCAGGGCCTGTTCCAATATGGAAGAGGTTGCTCTGCGCAACGGAACAAGCTCAACCCATTTGCTGAAGTGGTCAAATAGAACCAATAGCATCGTATGTCCGGATTTAGAGCGGGGAAGATCCCACTGTCAATTTCTGTTTCAACTCCTCGAAAGCGGCCTCTTGCGGGGTACCCCATTCCCACTTACACCCCTTTTTCAGGAGTGTGGTCATTGGCTGTACCACATCGGCGAAGTTTGGGACGAACCGCCGGTACCACGATGCTAGTCCGACGCACTGTCGGAGCTCCTTCACGGTGGTGGGTGGCTTCATATTCTGCACAGCTAGGATTTTGTCCGGGTCGGTGTGGATTCCCCGGTCGCTTATTACGTGTCCCAGGTAGGTAATACTTTTCCTGAAGAATGCGCATTTGTCCGGGTTGAGCCTAAGGTTGGCCTCGCGGAGGCGACGGAATACTTCCCGCAAGACTCGCATATGTTGCTCAAGAGTCTCTGCTACCACCACGATGTCGTCCAGGTAAGCGAATGCGTTAGGTTCCATTTCGGGCCCGATGATACTGTCCAAAGCGCGTTGGAAGATGGCTGGCGCGGAATGCAACCCGAACGTCATTACTTTCCAGTGGAAAAGTCCTCGTCCCGGTACCGTAAACGCCGTACGCTCCCGACTCTCCTTGGCCATCGGGATTTGCCAATAGTCATTTTTTAGATCCAGCGTCGATATATACTTAGCGTGCCGTAGTTTTTCCAGGATGTGCGTCATTCTTGGGAGTGGGTACGCATCGGGAATGGATCGCTCGTTTAGCTGCCGATAGTCCACGCACATGCGCCATTTGTTGTTCTTCTTCCGTACTGATACTATCCGCGCACTGTGGGGACTTCGTGAAGGTTCGATACAGTCCTCATCTATTTGCTCGTTGATGATCTTTTGCATGGCTGGATTCTTCGGATAATAACGTTGTTTGATGGGTCGGTCATCTTTCATAGTTATTTTATGCTCCGCAATGTTGGTGGTCCCTTTGAGGTCATAGAACCGGTCGAGCTCTTCCGTCAAAAACGCTACCACGTCTGGGTTATCCATGACTGGGTTCTCTAAGTCCTGGCCTGTGGGTAGGTTCTCCGGAATCGGTTGGTGTTCTTCCCTTTTCCTCGCCATCGGGGTACCTGCTGCCTGGCCATCGTTCTCGGGTTCCTCGTTCTGTCCTGTCTGGGTGACTGAGGTTGTCAGAGTGCCGTCATGTTGATTTCCCGTCGACGTGGGCCGAAGGGAGACTCCCCGGTGGATCGCCGGTGTCGTCGTCTGAACCTCCTCTCTAATGATCGCGCGATGTTCCCCGCACTGGATAGTGGTCTGCATGGCTGCCATATAGTCCATACCTCGTCCACTGACGTCGGCAAGACGAGTATCGGGATCGTGAATCTCCGAGTTCCCAGCCTTATGTCGGCTGAAACGGTGCGGTCGACTTCGCGCGACGTCCCATTTGCCAACGCTACTCGATTGCAAACACCCCCGGCTACAAACGCTAATTTCAACCTCTTTGCCGTATCCGCCCCGACGAAGCTCCTTGTGGCCCCTGTGTCGATGGTGCCATTCAGCTGGTGTCCGTTGACCACCACCGTCGCGACAATTCGACCCTTTTGTATTTGTATTAATTCTTCCGGTTTTGGGGATCGGGCTGGCTCGTCTCCGCCACATCCCTTGATGGACGGAGACGGGATTCGTTTCCCGGTGGGGCCCTTCTGCAGCAGTCCCGGGTCATGATTCCTCTCCGACCACAGTCCCAACAGAAGAATACTTGGGCTCTGTGGCATTCCTGTTGAAAATGTCCTATTTCCCCGCATCGACGACACGCTCTTCGTACGTCTATTGGTACTCCGTCTCCGTGTGTCACTGATTGATTTATCGCGCTGTTCTCTGGAGTCGTGGCAGTGTGATTCGGGATGCTCCGGAAAGGATTCACGTGTCCATGTGACGCGATAGTTGCGGGCTGGCGGTTCCCAGACGACTCTCTTTGTCCTTCCAATTCTCGTAGCTCCTCGTAAGTGACCGCTAGCCGTGTCAGTTCCGTTATTGTTCGGCATTCATCGCGCTTCATATAAAGTTGATACGTGGGCAACATGTTGTCGTATGCCCGCTCCAATTGTTCGGCATCCGTCAGTCCGGCCCTCTGCATCATCACCCGTAAGGCAATGAGGAAATCCTGGAACGGTTCGCCTACACGCTGCATACGGGCGCGTATTTCGTCTCCAAGGCGCTTGAAATATCGCGGCGGGAGAAAGAATTGTAGAAATTCGTTTTTTAAAGTTTCCCACGTCGCCCCCTGGAGCCCCCCTCAGCCAATCCTCGGCCCGTTCAGTTAATAATTCTGGCATCGCTCGCGGCAAGTGGCTGACGTCCACTTGATAGCCTACCTGGAGGAGCGAACCTCCAGTTGCTCGATGAAACGTAACGGGTCGGTGCGGCCATTAAATGTCACTCCCCATTTCCTTGGTTGCACCATCTGTCGGGTTGGTGGGTCATCCCCTCTAATTGGACCTGTGCCGTTCGCCAGTGTCGATGCCATAGTTGGTCTTGCTCGAGGGTTTTCCAAGGGCGGAATGAGGAGCTGAGTAGGCCCACTCGGCCAGCCTGACTCAACCTCTGCTTGTTTTTCGTCCTTTGGGGGATTGGGGCTGGCTGGCCGCGAGTCCGGGGATGGCCGGTTGCCGTAACTCTCGGCCCAGTAGTCCAACCTCTGTTGTACCTCCTCGCTGAGATCATCCCTATTGATATACGCGGTTAGCCGCCGCCGCAGCTCGTCCACGAGACCATGTGGTTCCAGTCCCAGTTCGATGAGAATAGCCTCCAACTCCGCCTTCCGCCTATAACTGACCCTGCCTGTATTTCCCGTCATGGCGCCTTGATGTCAACGATAAAACTAGCCAATGCCCCGCGACGATAGTTTAATGGTTCCCCGACGATAGTTGATTTACTCCTAACCGATAGTTGAGAGCCCCGACGATGACTGATAGCTCACGACGATGACTGATACCCCCGACGATAGTTGGCTTACGACGATGGTTGGCTTACGACCCACGACGACGGTTGGCTTACGACGATGACTGATACCCCACGACGATGGTTGGCTTACGACGATGACAGATACCCCACGACGATGGTGTGAATGTCAAACGACGATAGTTTATTTCCTAGATGTTAATACTTGGGGGTACCACGACGATTATTTATTCTCCACGATTAATTCCTTGAATATCCCCCGATGATAATTTATACTCCACGATGAATTCCTTAATTATTCCAAGACGATAATTTACATCCCGCGACGAATTCCCTCGATGGTAATTTATACTCCACGATGGATTCCTTGAATATCCCACGATGATAATTCCACAACGATGATTCCAGTTAATTCCTTGAATATCCCACGATGGTGAATTCTTGAATATCCCACGATAATAATTCCACGATGATTCCGGGTAATTCCTTGAATATCCCACGATGAATTCCTTGTAAACAATTCCTTTGATGTCCTACGATGATAATTTTCTTGACGAATTCCTCCGCTGAGGAGTGTGCGCGTCGAGCGTTCGTAGAAGAGTGTTCCCCGTTATGTTGCGCCGCTGCTTTTATACTCTTCGTCGATGCCTCGTGTCTCCGATGCTGCCGGTGCCGAGCTCGGTTCGGCTATTCTGTCCGATCTCTCTCTCTCTGTCCGTCATCTGTCTCTCCCTAACGGTGCCGTCACGTGCTATTTTCTCTGGCGCTCTCCTATGAGTTTTCGATGCCTCATGGTCGCCATTTTTGTTTCGCCGGCCATTTTGCCTCTATTCGGTTCTAGGTTGTCGTTATTTTCATGTTTCACCTGCTGCCTAGTTTTTTTTTTCCTTAAATTTCTGGGGCCTTATGTGGTTCTTTCCAACGGGGCTTTAATCCCAGAAAGAAACCATCCTCATTAATCTCAGGTCCCTGCTCGGGCGCCACTTGTAAAGAAGTGATTTCAACGGCCGGGGTACAACTCTCAGTCTCCCCCAGGTTCATTTACAAGGATATTTGTAAATTGCCGAGACCAGAGAAAGGAGAGTGGATAACGGGCCGAAAGGGCCGAGCTATCCGTGATTGGGGCACAAAAAACTTGAAAGCTTGAAAACGTGAAAACTCGAAAACTTGAAAACTGGGAAAACGGAAGCAAACTACAGTCCCTCTCTGGTGTATAACGTTCAGAAGCGGGATAACTATGGCCACTATGACCCAGCCCTGGTGTATAACACCCAGGGCTGGGGAACCGCGTGATGCCTGCCGTATGCTGCGATTGAATGCCTAGAGGACGATGGCCCAGCCTCAGGAATAACCGCGTGGACCGCCACCTCGACTCGGCTCTGGCGCATAACGCTCAGCGCCGCGTCGCATTGCACCCGCTATGTGCTGGTGTGCCACACTGGGTACTCCCGAGAACAGATAGCCCGCCCTCGCCACCGACAACCGACCAGTGTGTCGACTCAGCTATGGTGCATAACACTCGGAGCTGGGTCACACTGCACCCCCTATGTGCCTCTAAGCTGATATTCTAATCATTCTGCACTTCTTCTATGCACACATCAGTGCTGTCATAATTTTTCGAGCAAATAGAGCCAGATTGGCAAAAAAAAAGAAGCCAAAAGAAGCCAAATTTAAGAAAAATTAAGCCAAAATAAAAGCTAGGCTTAAAATCAATGTTTTCTTAATTAAATTTATTTATTATTGTTCATTTGCTTTAAATTGATATTCAATGACATAATACAACAAACTTCTAAATATAATAATAAAATAAAAAATTACATTAAATTCAAGTTAAAGTTAAATTTTATTAATTCTGTAGCTCATTTATGAGTTCATCCAAACTCACTGCCTCTTCGTCTGGATAATAATCTCGAGTGCTTACTGCTCGCATCCATTTAGGAGGCAATGTAGCAGCATTTGTCGTTTCGATTTAGTCCGTATCTAAAATTGAAAAAAAAAAAAAAATTAGTATTTTTTTTATACCCTGAACCCATTTTCAATGGGAAATCAGGGTATAATGGTTTTGTTGAAATGTATGTAACAGGCAGAAGGAGGCGTGGCAGACCCCACAAAGTATATATATTCTTGATCAGGGCGACGAGCTGAGTTGATTTGGCCCTGTCCGTCTGTCTGTCCGTCTGTCCGTCCGTCCGTCTGTCCGTCTGTCCGTATGTATGAACGCGTCGATTTCAGAAGATATAAGAGCTAGAGACTTCAAATTTTTTTTTAAATGTCCGTAATTACAGCGCGCATATCAAGTTTATCATTAAAAATCGATAACTCATCCCGATCTTTTTTTATCGATAAAAAACCTTATAAAATTATATCTTCTACACCTTTATTGCTAGAGTCTCCAAATTTTTAATGTATGCTTATATGCAATTTATACAATTTCGGTTTTTGTTAAAATGTACCCCCACCTCTAAATTCACCCCCTCACCCTCACTTTTGTAAAAAGCGTATTTCAAATACTAGAGACTTGTGCTTTGGCAATTACATGCATATTCATGTTATAATCATAATCTAAAAGTTTCATGAAGATCGTACGCCCATGCGTGTTTATGCGTGGGTGCTTGTGTGTGTATGCGTTTGTGTGTGTATGCGTGTGTGTGTATGTGTGTGTGTGTATGCGTGTGTGTATGCGTGTGTATGCGTGTAAGCTGAAAGACGCGAAAAATTATTGAAATATCTATTGCTCCAAGGGTTCAGGGGATCTCGTAGTCGAGCAGTCTCGACTAGAGCTTTCTTACTTGTTATATTTTCTTTTGTTAATTAAAAATCATACCTTACGCTTAAAATAGAGTTAAGAGTATTTAAATTCATTCCATTTCTTAATTTAGATTTAACTAAATTGACTTGGCTGAAGACCCGCTCTACATCTGCGTTTGACCATGGTAATGACAGAATCTGTACCGCAACGCTTGCCAATTCATAAAACCGTTGGTTTCCGGCTGAGTCACGGTACGCTAGTACTTCAAGCCAAAATGCCAGCGTATTTTCCGTGTTTTGCCAAGTACACAGTCGTACATCAGCATATTGTCTTTCAACATCAGCAATTTTTGAAATTTTAAAAAATTCGAGAATGGCAACGATATGAGGCTGCTTAAATTTCAAAACATTTTCCACAGCAAATATATCGGTTTGTCTTAGTATCTCGAAATTATCGGGCAGCCTGAAAGAAAAGCAACATTGATTATTTGTTATTCATTGTAAACATAATAAATTAGACCCACCTTTGCTTCAACTGCTTTACAAGCTCAATAATAAAATTCGTGCAGCACTCCCTAATGACTGATTCTGCTGTCATGTCCATTCTAATATTTTTAATCAGTTTTTCAAATTCATAGCCAAGATATAGGTCTTTGACTACAAATTTTTCAAAATCATTTTGAAATAATATGTCGATCTTTTTTTCTTCTGGAATAATTTTCTTTTGCAAAGACCTTATAGCTAGTATCAGGTCATTCAGCAATTTTGATGAGTCTGTATTTTGACTCTGGAAGCATTTATTAACATGTTGCATTTCTTGCAAAACTGGTTTCAAAAACTGAAGGTATAACAGATTTTGCACGTCCTTAAATAATTCGCTGAGGTGTTGAGCTTGTAAACATTTTTCTTGGGTACCAGAAATACCAAAATGAAGTGTTAGCTCATGCCACTGTTCCAAAATTCTAGTCACTGCCAATTCAATTGCGAGCCATCGTGTATCCGAAACTCGTGGAATTTTAAGGGGAGCCTTTTAGAAAACAAATTGATATGTAAATAAGCTATTGTCTCGAGAAAACACAGACACAGTAACTTAGACCACAAATAATTACATGATAACAATAACTGCAACGATTTAAAAGTGATAATACAAAAGGGGTATTACAGACAAACACGAGGGGTTTTTTATATTTATATATACCTTCTCATCATTAAGACATTGATAAATTCTATTATAAGCAATTTGACGGCTTGAGCTTTTAGCGAACCAATTATATGTCCCATATATGAGGTATTCCAACCCCTGTGGGAAACAGTGCTTGCAGGCATGATTTACCGCTAGCTGCACTGAATGGCAGACACACTTAATTAAAAGGAGCGAAGGCGCTACCTTCTTCATCTCCGTATAAACGCTTTGATTCGAGCCATTCATAAAATTGGCATTGTCTGTGCCGTTGCCTACTAAATTGACTAAATCCAAATTCCAGTTCCTAAGTTCTTGTTTAATTCCTTCAACTATAGAAAACGAGTCCCCACTTTCTAAAGAAATTAAACTGAGGAACATTGATACCATCACTCCACGCTCCACAGAAACATATTTAATAACAACACCTAAACAACAGCAACGTAAAAATTATAAATATACATGCAAATATATACAAATTAGACAATGTTCAAACTTTTAAAAAGAGTGCAGGTGATTAAAACATAATTATTATTTACCGAGCAGCTTAGTGCATCTTATATCAGTTGATTCGTCCAAAATCAAACTAAATTTAGCGCTTCCAATATCATTTCTGAGATCCTCACGAAAATGAGGAGCTAACACGTTTTTTATTATATATGTACATTTAGTACGGTGAAGTTTAATGCGCGACGCGGTAATACTATCGGAAAATTTTGTTTGGCAGAGACTGCCCAGGTGGTTTATGGGAGCAATTGAGGTGTGCTTTGCCACAAAGAGGCAAAGTGCTACCTCTTGCTCCGTGGTTTTCGATGGAGTTTGCCCAAAATCAATTTTTTCTTTTTGTGCAAATCCAATTAGTGCACCTTTGTGTTTTTTTGTTGATGCGTGGGCACGCAAGTCACACAGCTTTGCAGTCAGACCGCAGTTGCAGTAGCTGCAGTACGCCCTGGTCGAATCTGTTAGATCTTTCCGTAGCCAATCCTTAAACTCGTCAGCCTGCAGCCACACATCGCGAACACTTTGTTTGTATACCTTCGACATTTTTCAACGCAGTAAACTTTAAAGCACAAGCAGCTGTTACTTAAACCATGAAATGAGTTCGATAGATTGATTGTATGATACAAAATCATATATCGATACTTGTATTCATAATTTTCAGTGTTGAGAAAGATAAAAAAACAAAATAAATCGTGAAAAGTAAATAAAGCTAAAATAGAGCTAAATTAATTTTTTTTAAGCCAGAATTCCCGCAACCCGCCGTTTTCGAATTTTTCCCGCAATGGGACTTCAAATAAAGCCAGATTTGACGGGAAAAAAGCTGAAATGACAGCCCTGGCACACATACATACACATGCATCCAGATGCGCGTATAACAACGCGCTCTGCTAACTGCGCAGTAAGCAGCGACTGCGCTTGGGCGGCGCTGCAGTGTGAGCAATATTATGCGAATTTATTTGTTGAATAATTTGTTTTGTAGACATACAATCTTAATGAAACTTTCAGAGTGAAATATGGTAAAAATGTGTCTACATTCCAGAGCACAAGTACCTAGTACTTGAAATGTGTTTTTTACAAATTGGTGGCGAAGGGGGCGTGGTATCCAAAATCTGTAAATTACAAAATCTTTGTATCCATTAACTTTATATACAACACAAATTCGAAGACTCCAGGTTTAAAAGTGTTCAAATTAGGCTGAAAAAACCAAATCAATTTCTCGATTATTCTCGATAATAAAGTTATCGGATGAGTTATCGAAAAAATAAAGCAAACTCGTACTGCGTATGGTATACCCGAGTATGCATGCCAAATTTCAGCTCTCTAGCTCTTATATACTCTGAGATCGACGCACTCATACGGACGGACGGACGGACAGGGCTATATCAACTCAGCTCGTCGTGCTGATCAAGAATATATATACTTTATGGGGTCTGCGATGACTCCTTCTACCCGTTACATACTTTTTCACAAAACCATTATACCCTGATTTCCCATTTTCAATGGGTTCAGGGTATAAAAAGGAACATATCAAGATTTGCGCATAATATCCTTGTTCGCCTTTCATTTAAAATTTTTTGAGAAGAGGAGAATACTCTTTCGTTTGTTGCTTACCGGAATACATAAAATATTTTTTGCCACAATTTAAGGTCCGTTGCCTCCTGCCAAAAATCTAAGATTGACAAGTTTGAATTATAGCATGTGGCATAATATTTATCAAGTCAAGTTTTCTTTTATTTTTGGTTGATTTTTGTCCAAAAACTCTAGAAATTCAAGATTATAATTTGTCGGAGAGTTTTCAATCCTCGCGTCCTCAATTGAATCATTTTGCATATCATAAATTTCAACCATCATGCTTTTGACGGTCTCCAAAATATGATTTTTTCGGGTAAATCAGGTTGAGTGGCGTAACCCGCACCCGTCCGCACCCAACCCGAAACTCGATTTTTCTGCCCATACCCACGGGTAGCCGCGGGTGCCCACGGGTACCCGATAAAAACCCGGGCCGTGCCCACCTCTGAACTGAACTCAGATCGAATCACTGAGGGTAGCTTCGCTGCTATTAGGACTTATTATTAAGCCGAGAGCCAGAGGGAATATTCTCATCCATTGCCTTAATTTATGTGCCCTCTTTAGCGGCAGTGCGCGGTAAGAAGGGTTAGAAAATGCCGCTATACTGAAATTCTTCACCGCGTGAAGCAGCGTCCGAACTTTATAAGGTGTGCTACTTATAGCACGCTCGAAGATGCACAATTGCGAAGCAAAATATCCGCTGAGCACTTCGTTTATTTCCCCTCTTGTGCAGTGGCGCGCACAGAGAGGGGTAATAAGTTTGGCCCTGGTGGACAACGAATATATTAGTTTGTCGCACTTCCTTTATTTTTCGTTGTTTCGGGCAGCCGACACTGCGCGGGACAGCGTTAACTTTTAACTATTTTTAACTCGCGTACTTTGTCTATGCGTGACACAACCGACCGCAACGAGAGCAGATTAACGACCAGGGTCAGCGGGTGCCATCGGAAAGAAAACCACTCTACGCAGATCCTTTCCGAATCCTACAGGATGCCCAGCGCCTTCCTTTCCAGCTCGAGTTGAACGTTGACCGTGGGTCCATCGTCGTGTTCCATGGCTTTGGCTTTGAGGCAATCTTCACCGACTTTCGAACGTTGCATTGGAGCAGTGTCCGAAGAAGCCCCTCCATAAACTGCTTCGGCGTGATGCTGCTATCAACATTAACAACTTTGATTTTGGGCCGAATTCCAACATTCTCCTTGACATCGAGGCCAACTTCTTTGAACTTTGGGTTCGCAAGAACCCTCCGACACTGGCTGCAGCGACAACAAGCGAAGTATCGCTCTCATCCGCCGAGCTATCTTCGCGAGCGCGCACTAACACAAACGCAGCCGAAGATTGCTTATCGCGAAATGCGCGTAATAAGCACGTTTTTGCTCTCGCTCGGCGTATTTTATTGTGGGCAATAAAATCTAAATTTGCGACGACGATGCGCGACGACGAACGGCCGTTCGCGGCGACTATCAGAAGCAAACTGAGTGTACACGTACAGAATCCTTGATTTGTTTAACGTGACGTGTACCCCAATGGGGGTACAGCGGGTGAAAATAATGCGTCCACCAACGCCCCTAAAAGAACGCTTTTAGCTACCAACTCGAATTGTGCTGTCGGGCACACTTCCCTCTTGGGTCGAGGGGAGGCCTATCATAACTTCTGCTGACCACGGGTACAGCTTCCGGCTATGGTCCAAATACACATTGGACCCAGCGGCTGTGCTCCGACTATTGTGGAGACACAGCGAGTAACACCACAGCCACCACGATAATCCCACTAAAGGGGGCCAACCTCACTGGGCTGGCCTCGGCCACCAGCCCATCCCGTGGTTCAAATTTCAAATCTGTTACGATTTGCAGCTTTGATCGGCTGAATGCAGTCCGCGACTACTGCCCAGTTTGGTTTCCGACAACCTGGGGCTGGGTTAGCACCGGCGGCACCTCAAAGAGATAACCTACCAGATTAAGGCTCTGGTCCGCCCTTCGACGCCTCCAGATGGATTTTTCTTCCAGATTAAGGCTCTGGTCAGCCCTTTGACTCTCTGCGAGAAGAGAATCTGCCAAATTAAGGCTTTGGTTGGCCCTTCGATTCATCCAGATGGATTCATCTCCCAAATTAATGGACTTTGGTCCGACCTGCGATTTGCCTACGAGAGGCGCATCTTCCAGATTAAGGCTCTGGTCGGCCTTCTGACTAATCCCGAAGGACTTCGTCTCCAAAATTTAAGGACTTTGGTCCGACCCTCGTAGATAAGTCTACTACCAGTTTTGACTAACGTCAGTCCGGCACTGGTCTGCCAGGTCCTCCGCCATCGATCAGCATGCGTCGCCTGCTGAAGACTGAGCGAGCATTATCCTCAAGCAGTTGCATGCTCTCCGCATCCACCAAGGTCCTCTCCATGGTCCAGTCACCGGATGTAGACTGCTGCATCCTAAGTCCTTGCAGATCCCGCACATCCGCTTAGAGGGGGCAGGCACACATCACGTGTAGCCAGTCCTTTAAGGGATGGCCACATAGGTATCCAGCAGTCTCGCTCAGACCGCGCGCGTGCAGAAAAGCATTCAACGAACCATGACCAGTTATGAGGAATCTGGTCGAAACGTCTTGACCGTAGAGCCAATCGCCCTCTACCATCGGGTAGCTCCTCTTCAGCTCAAACTGCATAGCGTTGTGCGTCGCAACAAGGTCCAGCGGCGAGGCTTCAGCCAGCACTTCAAGGGCATCTGTAGATACCGTTCGGCACGTAAGCAAACATCCTAACAGGATAATGCGATGGTAGGACTTGAGCGACCTCCTGGTGCCGACTAGTCTCATCACCATCATGTACCACACCGAAGCACCAAATAATGCACAAGGCACCATGAGTCCGGCATATATCCGTCGCCGTGCGCGCGGACTGAGTCCCCAGTCAACACGTAGCACACGGGACAGGGCTCCGACGACTCCGGGCAGCCGATCGCGTAGTGATACGATATGTGGGAGGAAACTCAACCGCTCGCCAGCCGTGATGCCAAGATAACGGTATTGCGTCACATACCGTAGATTTGCTCCTGCAGATCTGACGGCGGGATTCCTGTTAGCTGACAGCTTTCCCTTAAGGAGCATCGTCACAGTCTTCGTCGCCGAGACTGAGACGCCTACCTCAACACCCCATCCTCCAACCATCTCCATTAGTTGGGCGCCTGTGAGCCCCAGTTGGGATCTGGAATTCCCCTCGACGAGCAGCAGCAAATCGTCAGCATATGCACTGAAAGTGCAGTGCGCTTCGAGGCGGAGCAGAAGAACATCCATCAAGATGTTTCATATGAATGGACCACTGATCGACCCCTGCCGGCAGCAACGTGAGACGTTCACGTTGGCTTCGCCAAAGCTACTGACGATGCTAGCTTTTCGGTCCGAAAAGAATCTGACAGTCCAAGGTCTTGACAGTCAGCGTAACGCTGAGCCCCATTCGACATGGTCGAATGCTCCTTTGATGTCGATGAATATTCCGAGCACGTATCGAGCCGGGCTGGCTTCGACACTGCTCAGAACATGCCTCCAGGCATCCTCGACGCAACGTCCGGGGCGAAAATCGAATTGCCATCGGCTCTCGCACGTGAGCACCTCTTTCACGCGGTTCACCATGATCCCTTCCAGCACTTTGCCAAAGACAGGCAGTAGGAAGATGCCTCGATATGACGCTGGATCGCTCCTGTCTTTATCGAGGCCTTTGAGGAGCGCAACCACACGTGGGCGCTTCCACTCAGAGGGAATGTCCACTGGCCTCTCCGCAGCTGGGAAAGAACTGCGGAGTAGGACATTCGCGCAGTCGTGCCAGGTTACGTACTGCTCATTGTTCCAGCGAAGGCAACCGATATCGATGCGCGTCTTGCGGCCGTGGCAGATCTTATACACAGATCCCCATGGGTTATCCTGGTGCTCACCAACATATCGCCTCCAATCCTCCTCTTTTGCCTTGAGCATCATCCTCTCGAATTCCTTTCGGGTGATCCTGAAATACGAGGCAAGGGCACTGGCACTCTCACTGTGGGTGCGACGCGCATGCTGAAGACTTCGCCGGGCTCTCCTGAGCGCACAGCGTGCGTCCGTGAGGGCGGCATTCCACCAGCCCACACGACGTCTGGCTTGCGGTTGTCGACGCCCAACCAAGTGTCGCTCACCTGATGGACCAGTGAGCGAAGTGCAGCCACTTGTTCATCCAATGTCAAAAGGCGAAAGTCCTCGAGGGGGATTTCCATCGATGCAGTCCTCAACTCA